ATCAATCAAACTAGTTGATTCTCCAACCCCAACTACGTGGAAGGAGACCTGATTGGATTAAAAAATAATGGTTTGTCCCATTGTTTTACCAAAGGGGGAACATTTCTTTTTTTTCATTTAGGTTTTCTGAACTGAATTATATAAACAATTAGCTGGTGCCTAATTATGAATCAAAAGTACTTAATGAATGCTTACCTGCCACATAAAGGTGTTGCGAAGATTAATTAGGTAAAGTTTATAAAATGCTTTGAAGATTAAAAACACCACTTAATTATAATTGGATAAAGTATGAAAGGATGCTGAGCACTAAAGAAGCCTGGCAACAGCCTGAAAACTCCCTTTTGTGTTCGATAAGTTCCCCTTTGTGCAAGCTGGGTCACTGGATACCTAACGTACATGCACGGAATGACTTAAATTTAGGGTTTACAACAATATAGTTTACTTCACTAACTTGCCATTACATTGACCAGCTGCAAGTCCAAGTAAACATGTCGACTGAAGTAATCAAATGCTTGTGATCTCTTATATGGAGTGTTAATCAGGCGTCCACTGTAGCTCGCCATCAAGGACGCTGCTTAAAGACATATTGGGGCGACAGGATTTGTAGGGAGAGAGACTATTTCTCATTAGATCTACCAACACACTCAGAAATAAATGGATGGACTGTGGGCACACACGTGTTTTCCAGCGTCGCTGGTATTGTAGCTCATTTTTCTTCCTGCTGCGTAGCTTCCATTTCGAGTGATATTTTGCAGGCCACAGCAATAGCGCTGCCGAGCGGTCTACGTTGTGTAGATCACCTGGAGAACCCCAGCAAAGCCCTGGTCTGATCCTCACCACCGGCTTCCCAGCAGGTGAGCTCCTGCCTGCGAGAGACTTGCAGAGTTTGCTCTTCTGCGGAGGCAGCTGTATAATTCCTCTTCTTCATTTTGGAAATGCTCCTGAATTATGGTGTGAGATTCCCACAGCTTTATGCTATTCTTAGAGCAGCAATGACTGTAGTTATTGCAGGTAAATGCTATATCTTAAATGCCAATCCTTTACTACCTCTGTATTCAGTTTTCTAGTTACTCTCCCAATGACGGCTACAAAATTTAATGCTAATTATGCCACAGCTGGGACTTGAAAATTTTGGCTTTTTGAAGTCTCTTCTCCTAGACTTTTTTTTTTTAATTTTTTTTCCTTTGTTTTTTTTTTCTGTTCTTATCTGTACCACTGGTTGAATACCTGAATATACATTTGCCCTTGCCTTCCCAGGTCTGTTTTCTAATTCACAGTCCTCATGCAGCAAATCTTTTTGGCTAGCATGGGGCAACTTACCTGACTCAGATGGACAGCATGTAGCTCAGAGCAGAAAATAAAAGCATGTATGTCATAAAGCTGCCAGGAAAACAGAAATATTTGATTTATACCAAAATTCTTCCTTGACCAGCCTGTAACACTGTATCATAGTTTGTTACAATAACTTGCTTTCTCACAGTCTGACTTTTCCTGGGTGCAAAGTCAGTCAAAAGGGTGCATTATTGCTTGTAACTTGTGCACATTACATAATAAACTATTTTGCTCAGTTTCAGTGCAAGATTCGCGAGAACAAATCCAGGGTGCTGCAGATCACAGCGGGGGGTTATCAGAAAGCCGGCAAACAACGCTGGCAGCTGATGTCAGCGGTGCTAATCTGTACTTTCTCGAGCGCTGAAATGGCTCACAGACTTGTGGCGAGGATAAATACAAAGAGGGAGAAAATCATCATCGTCTTATTTCAGCATTTTTTTTTTTTCCTCTATGTGTTAACAAGGGATACAGACCCCCTTTTATGTACGGATCACATTTTGTCTTTTTTCACAGCCAGAATGCACTTACATCTGTCTATTTATCTACCTGGCCCATAGCACAGCAGATAGATGAGTGTCTCATTAACGAATTTATCTTTTCAGCACTGCTGCAAGCCAGGGAAGTGCTATTACCACCTCAGCCACCTCTGCCTCTGGTTTAGAGATAAGGAAGCGAGGTGCACAAAGAGTGGGTGATTTGCCCAAGGTCAGGCAGCAGCCAGGGAAACTGAGGCACCGCGCATGCCTGGCCAGGGGCAGTCCAGTGGCCACACTCCCAACGGAGCAGCGCTGACGTATTAGGGCCAGTTACACTAGTAAAAAGCAGAAGCGAATGGATGCAATAGGTTATTTTGAGCAGCAAAAGGTCTTCTACAGAACATTGTTAGAGTATTTTTTCAGTTTGTTCAGCCGTGGGTGCAAATGTTCCTTGAGACACAGGTATTTACGTGACGTTGCGTTGCCTCAAAGTAATGAAGGTCACTTTTCCGCAACTCAACGTCAGGAAACGGCCGCAACAGCCCTTTGCAGTGGGTGTTAGCAGCACTGGGAATGCTTCCCACGGCATGAGCGGTGCTGGCATCCCTCCTCCTCCTCCTCCACGAGCGCCAGTGCCAGCCGTGGGGTCAGCTCTGCAGGGGAGCGCCCCGGGAGGGGGGCTGCGCTGTGTCTCCTTACCAAAGCATTTTCCTTCAAGGCTTTCTGCGAGCTTGCACACACCCATTGAGCTCCAGTGCTCATTCATCTCTTCTGCTCTGCGTCCCCCTACTCTAAGTCTTCCCAGCTTGTGGGGCTCAAAACACCTCCAAGGTATTTCTGTATTTTAAATGTAATTTAAAAAATAATGATTCATTCCAACAATCTTTACTCACACGTGCAGAGGCACTGAAGTCAGCGATTACCAGGAGTAAGAGGAAATTCAAGGTGCAAGTATCTCAGCAAGAACGTACCATGAGTACAAAGCAGAGGCCGCTGAGCTCCAGTTGCTGTCCTTCTCTCTGCGCCCGTCCTTCTTCCTTTGCATACAGTTCTTCTCTGGATGTTGTTTGCTCTCTGGATGTTGTATGCTCACAAACATGCTTTGGAAACATGTTACTTCACATCAGATCTCGCTCTCTAGGTCAGAAGTTCACCAGGATACAAGAAATTCCCAACATCTGCATTTTGCCCAGCACAGAAAACACTGGTGTCCCTTAAAGCTGTAAATAAATAAACAAAACAAACCCCTTAAAAAGTTACACACAACGTGGCTTTAAAATAAAAGAAGGGAAAGGATTCAACTAAAATTCCACGTAAAAGCATTTTCATGCTGATCTCCTCCTTCGCTAGCACGCTGCTGGCACGCTGTTCCTCCCCGGGGAGCTCTGCGCTGGGCGAGCTCCAGTGCCTTCCGCAGGGACGCCGGGGACACGGGCACCCGAACAGGAGGGCAGGTCAGCCCCTCTGCCACATTTCTGGGGGAAAAAAAGACTTTGGACAATTTTAGTGGTGTCTCTCTGGAATCCTTGTTTTTAGAAGCCTGACAATAACCAGCTCCAAATGGAAATCAGACTGTGTCATGCCATATGCTTTATTTTCTTCAGATGCCTTTCTTTTTCTGGGTGTGCAGCCCCTGCTCCCCTGTCCCCCGTTGTCACAAACAACTTTTGATCTTAAAAAGTGAAGTGGCAAACCCAAGCCAATGGGAAAAAATGGTGGGTTTTTTTTTTTCACCGTGATATATAGCCAAATGCATATAGCACCAGGAGGAAGCGTGTCCCCGGAGTGGGACTATTAGAGATAGTTCACTATCGTTGGCTCAAGAAATGCAAAGCAACGGCAGCAGTCACGCTCTGCAGAATATGACTGATATCTGAGAGTAAATTATTGTCAGTATTTGGTAATAATTTTCAAACCTTAGCTCAAATATCTTTATGCTTTGCATATTGGCAAATGACAGGTCACGTTGCAGAATAAGAAGTTATTGTAATTGGCTGTGTATATTTTATTAGGCTCAGATTATGCTTAATCTCATCACGGAGGTGCTTAAATTAAAGACAGCTTTGGATAATCATGTCACTTTAGTCAGTGGGAAGAGCCTGGCAGGTACAGAGAGCAATTCAAATCTGAGATGCCTGAACATCCATCTGTAAGTTGGGAAAGGTAAATCTGGTGCAGTCTCTCCCAGCCATGACTCAAAATGCTGTAGTTTAAGCCATTTAGGACCAACACCTTCTGCTTTGGGATTTCCTATGTTCAGGGGATTCAAGGATTTAGTGGAAGCTGTTAATAGATAGAAACCTGAAGGTCAAAAACCCTGGAGAATTTGATCAAATCCTGTATATCCTGCATATGTATTTCCCTTCAAGAATGAGGGAGAAGCTCAAGCCCCAAAGAAGTGTCCAGTACGTGCTGGAGGGGTAGGGCAGAAGCTGTCAGGACAACGGCAACTGAAGCTGTAGCTGTTTTGGAGGAAGGTGCTGGTGTGTGATGCTCTGAGCATAGCGGTGTCCTGCTTCGAGCTGGACCTAACATCTTCTTGCCCCTCATGCTCTGTCAGCCTTTGCTTTCTTCTGCCACAGATGAAGTTACTCTTCTCCCAAGCAACTAGCGATGAGAGGAAATGGCCTCAAGTTGCGCCAGGGGAGGTTTAGACTGGACATTAGGAAAAACTTCTTCACTGAAAGGGTGGTCAGGCCTTGGAACAGGCTGCCCAGGGAAGTGGTGGAGTCACCATCCCTGGAAGTATTTGAAAGACGTGTAGATGAGGCGCTTAGGGACATGGTTTAGTGGGCATGGTGGTGTCGGGTTGACGGTTGGACTTGATGATCTTAGAGGTCTTTTCCAACCTTTATAATTCTATGATTCTAAGCCTGGATGGGAATAGCCAGCGGATGTTGCCCAAAGTGTGCTTCCCAGAGAAGGGATCTAGGTTGTTTACATGCTTTCATCTTTTTCATACAAACCAACCAAAAATACAGGAAAATACTTTGGAATCCAGTTATGTGTTCTTTGAGAATTTTATCTGTGTAAAGTCACATCTTTAAACTGAGCAAGACATTTTCATGCCCACTTACACAGCTTTTTCACTGACCCTCCAAGTTTACCACACTCAAAGTCTTGGGTTTTAGTGATTCTCCACAGAGCCCTACTGCATTTGCTGTAAACAGTTTCTTTTGTGTGCATCCTCAGATGAATAAATGCGGGACGCAAGCTCCGGTGTGGCTGTCGCTGAAGTCTGAATCCCTGCCGGTTCCCGGCGAGAGCAAGCGGCTCACAGGCTGTGCTACCTGGCAGGTCTTCTTCGGGGGCACCAAGGACTGCTGCTTGTTTCGGATACCCATCGCCGTCAGGAACTGCGGAGGATTCTTCGTATATCTCCTGCAGCCTACTCAAGGATGCATGGGCTACTGCGCGGAAGGTGAGGATCAGTAAAGTATTTATCAGTAAGATTGCATATGCCTCTCTCGCTGGGTGTTCAAAGGTCCTGGTATTGCAATGCACATCTTGGTGACCTTGCGAGTCAAGCTTCACTCCCAGTAAGATGCGGACCATGTAGAAAATAAATCAGCGGCGGTCTGAGGTGTTCCTGAGGAATAGCTATCATTACCAGTGCAAAATGTAATCTGGTGTGTATTACTGAAGTGTTCTTTGCTTGGTTACAGTTCACATTTAACCTTTCCTACTGTCTTTGGCTCCACTTTGGCTTGAAGTTGCACAGCTAGTGAGCGGAGGCATCTCGGTTTTATCAAGGCACTGTATCCAGGATATTGCATCTAAGGCCTGTTCTTATCTTCAATAATCCAGTATCCCCCCAAAAAAAGATCATTCTGAAACTCTGGAAGGAAAAAAAACCCAAACTGATAACATCTTTTTCATGACATTTCTATAATTACTCTCGTCAGAAATAATTTTCAGCCTACTACAAGAGATCTAACCTCTGTTCGGTAGCTAGGAAACAAAGGAATAGCAGAAAGCAATTGCTCACTCAGTTAAAGCTTCTGAGTTCATGTCCAGGTGCATATATATTTAGTCAGAAAAGACAGTTCTTTCTCAAAAGGAAAAAATTACCTTTACACTTTCCTTTCAGCGTTTTTGGACAGAGACATGACACACTGAGGAACTAGGGTTATCACCTTTCAATCAGGCAAAATTCAAGCTTAAATAAATTTTAAAGAGAGAGATATCTATTTTGCTATCTTTATCAATATTTTAGCATTCCCACATGAGGAAGACAGAGGAAAAAAGGCTCAAAGAAAGTGAGATTAATTCACTATTTGAAATAAAAAATATCCATTAAAATAAATGAAACTGCTCTTTAATTTCGATGATTCTTTCTCAGAAATGACTTTTTAACTGAATACACTCATTTTCCAGTTTAAGCTCGGCTTTATTTAAACTATAAGATTTCCACTACCCTTGTTTGAAGAATTATTTACCAATACCGTTTAGGTGATTAATTTTGCCCTTTCTGTTGATCCATACCTGTTTAGTAATGTAAATCTGCCTGAATTTTTCACAAAAAAAAGTTTATCCCTTCCCATCTACCCCAAACCAACGATCTTCTGCCTTTTTCTTACCACTGCTGTTGAAGCTTTCATCTTTTTCCTAGGCATTTCAGTGAGGTCCAGCTCTCCCGAGTCTTTAACTTCTTGTCTTTAGGATGTTTTTGCAGTATCATGTATTGGATGGAAAACACCCAAAGCTGAAGGTTTTTATTGGGGGTTGTTAACTCACTGTCTTAAATTCGGCTGTGAACATTGCACCACAGGAGCCTCTACGCAGCCCCAGCGCCAGGTCCAGCTAGCACCGTCACGGCTTCTTGCCGGGGTCCATCCCCCAGCCCCATCCGCTGGAGGCTCGGGAACAGGACACCGGTCAGCACTTCTGAGCTGCGAAACAAAATGAATTTAGAGCTTCATAGCCTAGCAGAAAGGACACGGCTGGGAAAAGCAGCGTACGTGCTTGCAATTCTGCTCACATCCTCCCATGAGCTGATCACCTAGCTTTGTCCTTCTGGAATAATTTCCTGCAGAAAGTCATGATGAGAGCCATAGTTTGAGGCAGCTTCCCTTAGAAAAAAAAGAGAAAAGGATAGAAACAACTGGCCCTTATTCATATTTTAAGTAACTTGTTTCTTTTTCTTATCTCTTGTTATTTGCCCTGGACAGCTGTTAACATATTGGGTTTTTGTCCTGCTGTAGCAGACTCATACCTTATTCTCTTGGGCTTCCATAATATTTTCTACACTCCTCCAAAAAAGTTTCTTCATTTATCCCTTCAAAGTATCTGAACCAGCTTCATGTTCCATTTGAGTCTGGGTCCCTAGAGATAAAAGAACACCCTACAGTATCATACATTTTTGTTTCTACTTTCTAGGTGAGTTTAACAGGAAGAAAACTTTCAGACTTCATTACTTGTTGAAGCCTGTAGAAAGCAGGCTGCATTTTTAGAGCAGCGGCATTATTCTGGGCAAAAGGAGACTATATTGAGCAGACTCAGCCTAGGTACGTCCCAGAACAGCCTGGAAAGGATCTTCACAGCACAGTAATACGGGCTGGGTGCTCTCTGAGAGTCGGTTTACCTCTGCAACAAAATTATTTCTCATATCTCTTCTGTACTTATTGCAAAACTTGGATCAAAAGGCTGTGCTTCAGGGGAATGAAAAGCTGATGGCCTTTGCCAGAGTAATTAATTTGTATTAATCCGAGTGCTTCATTTCAATAACATTTCTCTTTTTGCAAAATAAAAAAAAAAAACCACCACAAAAAACCAGGTCAAATATTATAACAATGGGTAGTCAGTACACAATTAACAATTTTTGCATTTCATAGGAAATACATTTTCTTACTTACATAGTTAATATTCAACTCACAAGAATACAAAACGTAGCGTTTCCCCCTTGTTTAGTTATATTGAAATCTTTTTGTCAAGTGAACAATGGTAATATTAAAATAACATTTTGTGTTACATCCTTCTTTTGTTGTCTTCTTCCAGACAAACTGACAAGCCTGGCTTTGCAACCAGTGATAACTCCTGAGCTTGTGCAGGGTCGCGTCCACCTGAAGTGCACCTACAGCCGCCCCTTCTCAAAGCTGCCGCTGCAATACATGGTGGTCTGGTCGCGCCTGTCCACCCCTGGCAAGAAAGAGCAGATTCAGCGTGACACCACCCTGCAGTCATTTTCCTACATCGAGATGAACGGCATAAATCTCAGATTGGGAGACACGGTAATGCCGCCCTGCCTTCAGCAAAAAAGGTCAAATGCTCAGGGGGATCAAATCCTTTTCTTAAATCTTTGTTGTGTTACTAGTGCTGTTCCTCACTCATTATACTTAAAAATACTGCAGAAAAAAATACTGAAGCTGTTTCACAACTGGATTATTAAATAGCATTTACCAGATTCAGGATCTGTAACATTTCTTTGAACTGCAGTGAGTTGACGGAAGCTATCCATTACTATTTTCTAAAGGCAACTTGAATATTTGCACTGACATTACAGCTTGAATGCCATGAAGTTGGTATGAGTAGCACATGTGCCTGAGCCAATTCTTGCTTGGTATTTTTTTGTATCTTGCAGCAGCGAGAATTTGCAGTAGAGGCAGACTCAGCTATGTGCACTCAGTAATTTTTATACTCATGGACTAGAGACACAATAACATCTTTTCACAGAAAAGAAAGACGATACATTTTAAAATACAGGGAGGTTTATTTTATGGTCTTTTTCATGGTGTTCTGCCTCTCTGATTCCAAATTCTTGGTTCAATAGCATACTGAAAGATAGAGTTCATTACAAAACAATCTTTAAGAAGTATATTTGATGGCTTACATAGCAACACAGATCTAATTTCAACAACAACAAAACAGAAACCAATACAAGATGTGAAAAAAATTGACTTGTGTATGAATTCATGGCCTTTCATGGTACAGAAACAAGACTTTTAAAGTTAAATTAGGTTCATAACTTTTATAGGCGGAGAGCCATTAGTGATGCTACAACGAACTGCAAGAATAAACAGGGAAAATGGCCTTGTGTTAAAAGTAGGTTGGAAATAGTCTTGGCATTTTGCAGCTCTTCTCTGAGATATTTAAGATATTTAAGAAATGTGAATAAGCTTTTTTCCAGTTCTTGAAAGGATGAGTCATTTATAACAGTAGCACAATCTGGATAGTTTTTTCTCATTTCTCCTCGTAATTATGCCTCCTGAGTTCAGAATCTGACTGATGCTGCCCTCACTTATATTATAACATGAGGCAGAGAATTCTGCCAGTTTAAGACAAGTTTGTGTTGCAAAGAGATATTTTGATCAAAATAATTTCACCTGCAATCACTTCAAACCTAGTTTTAACAATCCTGAGGGATTCAGAGAAAATACAGTTCTGTTAAATAGTAGCATCACCAAATCTTTATAAGACCATTTTTATTATATTAAGTTTTCAGTAAGCCCTTCTTTGTCCTCTGTTGAAACCCACATGTTTAATTTAGGGGGTTTAGTGAGATTAAAATGTTCTCTTCCTTGCTAGATTTTTTTAAATGTCTTCATGGCCTGTTTGACTAATTATCCATAAATCATCACTGGTGAAAACCAAGCAATGAAGCCTCATCTGTAACTGGGAATTCAGTTTTACATAATAAAGATTTAAAAAAGCATTTCACCATGTCTGCCATCCCACTCGAGGTGTCTAATAAGAGTCACAAAGGGGCAGACTCTCCTTTCACCTCCAGTGGTGTAAACCTGCAGCAACTTAGTAAGCGTTGGTACCACACTACCGCAAAGGAAAGGTGATGCCACTAAAGGTACAGTCAGACCCCGGGGACCACACTCAGCTGCACAGAGATTGTTCGTAACCTTCCACCCACCCAGGAAAGATGCAAGTGGAGGTCTTTTTCTCAGGCAGCTTTAAAGGGAGGCCTGTTCCCTTTAAAGCCATATTAGAGAGGAGACAACGAATCAGGGCCACTTTCCCGTTCTCTTTCCCCTCTCCGTGCACAGCCCAGTGGTAGCATTCCCATGGCTGTGCACTGCCAGGGCACATGGGTGACATTCAGATGGGAATTTGTCCCCCAGGATGCAGAATTTGCAGCGTTTTGAAAACCGCTTGCTTTTTTTAACCTACTCTTCACCTACCTGCACATAGCCTGAATTTGGTCTCAGTGCTTTTATAGCCTGAAATCAGCATCCTCTCTGTTCATTTCTTGATAAAAAAAGTACAGCCAAGTGAGATTTGTTTTTAATCACTTTTTAGGTGATTGATATCTATGCTATTTTTTATCTGTCAAAAAGTCTCCAGGTAATAGGTTAGTCACATAATAGAATATCTATTGATATATTTTAATACGGAGTCAAACTTTAGAGAAGAATTGAGAGTTACCGGCCAACATTTCTGAACTTTTATTGACTAAACAGCCTGTTATTTTTTAATAGGCATCACGTGTGCTTTTCTCCCCCATCTTTGGGCTCCAATTTTGTTATTTCAGACAGTAATGTTGGCAGCATAATGTTCGCAAAACTATTGCAGCCTTAAATAAATCTATAACGTACCGTTATTTCTATATAAACGCTGAAAGAAGCCTACTCCATCTGATATGAAAATCCTGGCGTTCCTAAGCCTTATTTATGTGATAGTGACAGAGGTCATTTCATTCCTCGAGGCACAGCCATCTATAAATTATAGTGGCACACTGTGAGTAATGAGTTATGCTAAGAAAGAAAGGTGTTTAGAAGAAAACCGTGCAGATTTTGCTCAGCGCAGCAATCCAAAAGTTCATACGTTGAGGAGCAATTGTCGCCATACATAAACTATGATGCGCGTTGTAAAATAAAAATGTTTAAGTAAAACCGATGTTTCTGAGCTCTGTGCTAAAGCAGCCATTTCATGTGGCACTCTGCAACAGCAGAATAATATGCCCCAGCCAAAAAGACTGTAAATTAGTACCTCAGTGTAGAAAATAACTAATTTTTACTCACAAGGGAAAAGGAGTGAAATATCCCCCTGCTTAAATATTAATCGCATCCCAACCACTGGACTTGACAAAATCAACAACAGAAATAGGAAGACCTGCCTATTTGTCGGTCACACCTGAGTTTACAATGTCTTTCTCAACCTTCAGGTAGAAAATGAGGAGAATCCCAGCAGAAACAGAGCTCTGGGTGGACTTGGACAGAGATTTTAAAGCAGAAAGGGTCAGAGAAATGATGAGCAAAAATCTGCAGCTGACAAGACACCTCGGTACTACCCTGGGAAAATTTATTTCTTTAGTAGATGAATGACCTACAGTCAGCCTCCACATACTGTTTGGCCTATTTGGCAAGTGGAAAGAGCTGCCTTCTTTATATATAGCGAGTGGCAGAGTGACTAGAGCTGGACCTCCCGCAGTGTCAGGACACGCTGCTGCACCAGCTCCCTCCCTTCTGCAGCCAACGGCCCATCAGAGGTTTGTGTTCAAAGGCTTTAAGGTCTAGGTTATTAATTAACTCAAAGTCAGATTCTCCCTGCTTCCCCCTTCCTGCTAACCCTTCTGGAAAGCCTTTCCAGAGACTGTTCCTACCCCTTTCTGCAAATACCTACAGCCAGATCATTTCTTCGAGCTAATGAGAACTATTTTTTTTTTTCCTCCGGCTTCCCTAGAAACGCCATCCTTCAGCTCTGCTCATCCTTTGCTCTTTTCATCAAGGCTGTAAACCACAGCTCCCTCCCGCATGCACTCCCCAGCTCCCAGCAGAGCGACTCCTTGAGCCTTCTCTAACCCCAGCCCATTAGCGTTTAATAGACCAGACAACGGCAGCTCAGAGGCTTTGATAGCCATCGCGAGACACCCTTTCCCCTGGCATGATCAATCCCCTGCCCAACCCTTCACCTGCAAGCCATGAGTGTGGCTGAAAGACTCTTACCCTTGCAGCCCCAGCCTGCCTTTTGACATGGGTGATGTAGTGAGGAGGGTAGATCCAATCCTGGAGTTAAGAGTTAATCACCCACAGCTTGGGCACCTGCACCTTACGAGCAGCATGCAGATTTCCCTCCCCAGTGAATGGGAAGAAGTGGGTATTCCTAAATGGAACCTTATGTTGAGAAGCGAGCTTCCCACAGGTGGCCAACATAAATTACTGACCGGAGCAGCATCCCTGAATTCCCACACCTCTCAGGAGTTTGGATATCTGGGTCAGGAAAGTGCCTCCATCTGCTTTTTAATCCAGACCTTTAAGTCCTACTCAGATGTACCTGGCTGTACGTAGTCTTTGAAAGATCACTATCAGTAAAAGTACATATTTCAACTTTAAACCATCGCTGTTGTCACTGTGGGGTCTCTGGCACTACAATACAGCTCAAACACTTGCTGGAGAGATGGGAAATGGGTAGTTGGTCCTCCCAGCTGTGTGTTAGGTGCATGTCCTGCCCTTCCCACCCCAGGGCATAGGCTGCACTAGGAGAGGAAGCAGGGACCATAGCTGGGGACCGGCACGTGCATTTGCTTATTTTCTCTGGTGACTATTTAGGTAAAACACACAAGTGGTCCTGATGGGCAGACCCAAACCCAGTACTCCCATCTGCCAGCTCTCCCTATTTTGAGGACAAGTGCCATTGCCCCTGGGACGCTATTGAGATGGGTGGTGACACCATTTCTGCCAGTGCTTTGAGAAGCATATAGCTGAGGTTGGCCTTCCTGAGAGCTCCCGAAATCATCTGGCAAATCTATGAGCCTTCACAGGTACCTGACTGAAGAGCAGGGATGGGTTTTGATCACAAAACAAGTATCTCCTGTTTTGCCTTCGGGAACCCAACCCCTTATCTGAGCACGGCTGGGAGAGGCTGAAAAAACTGGAGACATGGCCATGCTGGATGTGCCAGCAAGCATTCCCCTCCGTGCCCCCACCTCTGCGCCCGCCGCCTTTGAAGATGGCAACAAATGTGAATGTGACTTTCTTTGAGCTTTTCTGTCTCTGCCCTCGGCCCCACGTCTCTCGCTACATGCTCAAGCTGCCGCAGATGATCCCTGCGCTACATTCAGAAGTAATTAGGGGCACGGAAAAGGGTGAAACTGGAGGCTGTTTTCTGTTCGAAATGAGTGTAAACAACTCATTTGGGGGAGTTTGGATTCTGAGAGCTCTGAGAAAAACCCACATTTTGATGTCCAAGTTGTTAGAGGGAAATTTGCCGGAGATGGTGACAGATCCTAGGATTAAAATACTCTCCCAAATTGTTTCCCAGAGCTACCCGACCCCCACCAAATTAATGACTGAATTCTGCTTTTAACTAAATACGCTGGCCACAGGGTTCACGGCAAAGTGGGAAGGAATCTGACTGATTCCACATAAGGGTGGAAATCCGCTCCAACACATAGGAAAGGAGAAACTTCTTAGCTACCAGGGCCTTTTTCTATCAGAATTTTGTGCCTAAAAGTAGTTTTCCGCCCTGTGGGAAGATCTGCTGGTGCACGGGGGAAAGGGAGCAGCCCACGCCCAGAAGCAATCCAGTCATCCTGTCCGAGGGCACCCTTCCATTTCTGTCCCTTTAAAAGGGACGATGAAAAATTATAATTTGATTTTTTTAACTGATCCGATGAGTTTGTGGAAAAATACTGCCTAACCTGTCACGGCCATCAGCATTCTGCTGTCAGTGATGCTTTTGTCTCTTTGCTTTAAAAAGGCTGCATCCTGAGATGGGGGAGGGGAAGATGAGAAAGAAAAAGTTGATTACTGAACTGGAGAAAAAGAGCTAGTATTTAGCTGAAGGTAAAAAGAACTCCTTGGAGTGACTATCATAATAATTATGTGACAAACTGTCAACCGGCAGCTCAGTAGCCAATGAACATATCTGCCAGTTGTGAAGTGTGCACTTAACAAGGTAAAGGCACTACAAGGGGAGGAACGATACAAAAGACAGAAGTAAAATGTACCTCGTGATGGCTGTCCATACATTTTGAATTTGCAAAGTTTGTGCTAATCTCCAGAAGTGCTGAAGACAGAACTGGAACAGACTGGTAGTCTAAGAATATCTCAGTGTACTGTTAGGGAGTAATTTTTGACTTTAGTGTTCAGTGCTTTATCAATAAAATATACCTCTAAAATATATATGTGAGAAAATACAATGCTTGCAGGGAATGAGGCTGGGTTCTGACATTTCCCAGGATGTCACTTTGGGGAAGATCACCGGGAGATGCCTCCGTCGGAGCCGGACATCCTCATACATGAACCTGCTGCCTCTCATTACAGCCCCCTCCTTGGCAGGAGCACTTCACGTGGTGTGCTCAGAGGGACATCTCCCTGTGAATATTTTTGGTAAAAAGCATCAAAGCCAAAGTTGCAAACAGCCCAGCAAGTTTAAATATAGTATCTGCAATGCAGGTGCATTGGATTTGCTCAATGAGCTCTGCAAGGGGATGGTTGATTTGGGTTTTTTTCACTGACAGGAATATACGTTATCTGAACCCTTTCTCTGTTGTCACTGCCTTGTCAGATCCCGATTTTGCAGAACTTTCCCTGTGGCAGCAGTAGGAAGATCAACGCTCGCCTTCTGCCTTCCCAGCAGAAGAACTTTTTTGGAAACTTTGTAAGCTGAACACAAGCTTTTAGGGAATGCTTGGAGATAATAGATATCTAATGATAACGAGGGCTTATTACCTTGAGGAGACAACTTTGGAGGCAAACTGGCTAACTACAAAGTATTGAGGAATTTTAATTTTAAAGTATCTCTGTGAGGCCTGTGGTTTTTTTCCCCCAGTACACCCAGTACGACATCAGGCTTCCATCTAATTAACAGAACAAATAACACCATTTTTACTGGGCCAAAGTGGCTGGAGCTGTCAGCAAAAGAGTGAGAAACTTTATGAAGGTAAAAACAGTCCAAAAGGCAAATAAACCTGGGACTGAGCTGGACTGGAAATGATCCACCTGAAGAGCACAGAAAACACTTGATTTTTCCCATAGCCATACAAATGATGCTGTATAGCCGAAGGGGCATTTTCGTTGTGCACAAATGAGTTAGGAAAGAGGATTCTTGAGTTTGGAGGAAACTCATGACTTGATGGTAATGAAGAAATATTCCAGAGCGCTATGCAACTCATGCCCACACTACCGTATGAATCTGGGAATATCCTGTTTTTGAGCCTGCTTTGCTGATGAGGGTTGTGCCTGAGCCGGCAGGTTAGAGCTCCGAGAACAGCACGGCCAGCGGGTGGTGGTGGAAAATCCGTCCAAAGGAGTTTATCACAATGGAAAATAAATTAGATTGGTCCAATTCCTCCTCATGGGTCCTTCAAGGCTTAAAAAAGGCGGTAGCTATAAATATGCCATCTGACTATTTGGAATTGATTTAGTATGTCACAATCTGTTACTCCATTTCCGAGAAGAGGCCAAAAAAAAATTTCAGAACTACAGTTTCAGAGCTTATTGTCGTTTGCTTTAAGGAAAATTTCTGTAGTTTAATCTTATGATCCTAGAAATGATGTTAGCAGTCTGGGTTTTCTGAAACCAATGAAACATTAAGATGGCAGATGGTGTGCGGGCTCAGCAGAGATAAAGGTTGCGTGACTGTGCTAGGAATAAAACATAAATGGCCTGGTACATTGTGTTTGATGGAGTTTTGTGTTTGGGGGGAATTTTTTTTTTTTTTTTTTAACAGTATAAACCCTGTAGGCACATCTGCATCATCTTTTATAAAGCAATGAGAAAAAAGAGAAGCTTCTTATATTGCTGACACAGTTTCTGAGACTGGATGACTGTCAAACTAATTTAAATTAAAAAAAACTGCTTAGAAACATGGTACAGAGAGAAGATATTTGATCCAGTGGACAGACTGAAATCTGGGATCCCAAGGGCTAATGTCCTAATCCTGACAGTAACATCTATGAACAACGTAATTCTCCCTAATTAAAATGAGTTAATATCACTAACCAAGATGCTTGAAAAACTGCAGAAGAAAACACATTGTAAGCATTCAGTGTTATTAATTGTTGAGACAGAAGCCATGTTCCTTTGCTTATTAAATGCATCAAAAATTCTTCAAATCTCAAGATTTATGCATAAACATTTTTAAAGCCTAAACCTCAAAAATATGTTTCAACAGTAGGAAAAAAGTCTAACAACCCCGATCAACAGGAAGATGCATAATTATATGAATTTTCTTCAAGAAGAGCTATAGCATATGCTGTTTATTTATTACAGGTCTTTTGCACTGTCACTGCTTTTACGAGGGACACTCCTGAGCAGCAGTCATTGCCTGAAGAGAGTAAAGGTTTCTATGCCGGGATTAAGGTAATGCTGATGGCCCTGATTTACTGACTTCGCATATTCTTAGAGAATATTTATACATTATCTGACATGCTGTGAAAAACAAGACATAGAAACATAAGACTCGATCATCATAACCAGTGCTGCTTTTATGTTCACTTTGAGAAAATGTCTTAATAAATTATATGGCTTTCAGACTGTTTGTAAAACACCCTAAACCACCCATCAGCACCGTGTGCAGGTGTTGACACTAATGCACCATAAAGCATGTGCAAAACTACATCTTCTAGTAAATACACCCCAAAGTACTCTAGTGGTTACATATAATGGGAAGACACACCTACAGGGATGCAGAATTTTGTTGTACCTAAACCAGAAGAAAGTGAAGAGAAAAACTAATTTTTATCCCTCATCTTCTTATGGTCAGGCACTACAAAAACCAAATTGCTGAAGATAAATTCACACTGAGTGCAAAAACCAGGTCTAATCCCACTCAAGGATTAGACTGTCAGTCTGGCAATCCAGGAGAATTTGAGATCTTCTGAGTATCTAAGCTTTTTGCCTCCATGAATGGTGTTTGAAAAATCCGGCAACCCATTCTGTGTGACATTTGAAGAACAGTTTCGGTTTTTTTGGAAATGTCAGAATTTCCCAGGGAATGGAAATTCCCATTTCTGACTAGCCCCGAGTATTGTTTCTGCTCTTGCCCCAGGAGAACAGACAGACAGAAATGGCACAACCCGAGCTCTCTCCCTGGCGCACAAACCACGCAAGCTGTAATATCTTATGTACGGAGAAATCGTTCTTCCTGCCGTAGCAGGGAAGAGGAATCAGGCAAAAATTGCACTCACTTTGCACCAGGGGCAGAATACAAACATAGAGTCCATGACCATGAGGTAATGCCATACTTCAGGCCATGAATATTGCTGGTATTTCTCCTAGTATATTGGAATAGGAGCTCCTTTTAACCAGGGATGTTAAAAATTAATAAATTCTATGGTATCATGCTATTTTCAGTCTTAATGAAAACCTGTTTTGAGATTAGGAGATGAGAAGCAACTATATATGACAACTGCAAACATTTTCTTAATTACCAAGAATGTTAAAGTATTTTAACAACAATTTCACCTTTTAAAGTTGAAGATAGTTATTAGTAAGATTATTATTATTATGAGGATTATTACAAAGATTATTATTATTTTATAAACAATTATATTTTTTAATAATTGATTAAAACCACTCAAAATTTCATAAGTATCAGTATTGCCTAATTAATCTGTCAAAATAATCTAAAAATTATTTTCTTATTTCCAGTTTTTACCAGAATCGTTACAAATTGCAGAGGATGGCAAAGAGCATGTTTTGACTGTTCTGAGCACTGTGCCCATTGCCTGTCCTGGGCATGATGATTCCTGTAAAATTACTTTACAGCTAAGTACTGAGGATTTGGGTAAGAGTTTTACACATTGGCATCGAATCAATATGATTACTTTCTCTTGTATTTATGTTATGATGGATTCCAATAGAAATTATAAGACTTAAATAACAACAAAGGGCAGAAGCCATAAACACAACAAACTAGGTCAATACTTGTTTGCAAAATAAAACAGATTATAATATCATTCAGGTTTTTAAGGAAGAAAAAATCTGACTAGTAATAACTTGAATGGTAGTCCATTGACATTTATGGATGAAATAACAATGAGTAGAAGAACTTATTTTAAATTCCAGGAGTATAAAATTCCATTTTAAGTTTTTGAAGCAGCATGGTCTTGGTAGAATAATTTCATTAATTATCAATAAGAAGCTCACCTTCAGATTTATTATTCAGTAAATGTGTACTGAAATCCTTTTACTTTCTTTTTCTGGCTTACAATTTTTGTCTAACTTAATATAGAAGAAAAAAAAAAATTCTTATGCTTATATATTATTCTCTTTCTAAAGATATTTTTTTACTTGAAAACATTGACAATGTCATTTAGAAAATTCTTGCCCTTTTAATCAGTAAATGCTTTCCTCGGGTTAATCTGGTGGAATATCATGCCTAACCAAGGGGGGGCATATATATATTTGCTTTCCATTTGCACTAAATAAAACACCCAACCCTTTTTCTGACAAAGCATTTATTTCTCTTGCATAGGTTACTCAATGAGAAAAATATTTAGACATAGGATTACAGCCACCGTTTCTCTACCCACAAAAAGCCAGCTCAAAAAAAAATGTTGGCAAAACCCAGATAGTTCCTGATATTTTTCCCTTTCTAAATCCCTCTCCTTTCTCTCCCCATCATCAGCCAAGTGCTTAGACAGAAGAAAAAAATAATTCAAATGGTATCACAACACAGTGATCTTAAACTGAACGGCACCTTATGGTTCCAGCAGCTGTGTTGGCGCTCGTACGTGGAGTACTTTGTTTCTCCATGGCTCAGTGCTGCTCTGTTCTACATATTGCTCTTGGCTTAGAGTCTCTGCCGGTCCATCAGACAAACATCCCCTGAGCTGATGGGAACAGATTTTCTTAGATATTTAGGTAGCTAAGAACACAGGCTGGTGTGGAACGCAGCCTCCAAGCAGCTTAAACACCTACCGTTTATAGGGATCAAATAAGAATTAGTCACATAACCTATCAAGGTTTTTTTTTTAACTCCCATTTTCTTAGGCATTGATAAAGCCTTTCAACATCTCAGTGAGAATGAATGCATGGTCCAGGAGCTCTCAAGTGGGGGAGGCTGAGTTCAATAGAGTGGACTGAGGCTGACCCCTTGCCAGGGTCTTCTCCGGTCCCACAACGTGCATTTGACTGGAAGAAAGAGGGGAGGCAAGAATTGCAGAAGTAGCTTTATTTTCAAGCTGTCAATGGGCTTGACGTGTTGGTGCCAAGAGGTCCCAGGATGGGGGGACAACTCTACCAGCTAACTAATCTTTGAAAGAACTTGTCACTGAAGTGGAAAATTTCCGTTAGCATTAATCAACTCATTTCTGCAGCTTAAACTAATAACCAGCTCTAGCCCTTGATTGCTCCAGCCTGAAGCTATTTCTTTGGATGACACTTGGGCTGTTTATGATCAATTGAGATATCTGTATATACTTAAGGTTGACTATCTGCTGCTGTGTGTTTGAATAACTGCAGGTCTGTTTTGTGCCTTTATTGTCTGTAGGGTCCGTTAGTTTATCTGAAGGAACACTGTGGGCTTCCGAAAAACGTAATGTCGGCCACAGTGCTATAAATTGAAAATAAAAACAACTTTAGCTGAGATTCGTTTATACCAAATAAATTAACTGACAAGCTCCTTGTCTGACTTAATCCATATAATAACACTGTTGTGCTAATTATGTAGGGAATAAGTGATAAGAGAGCTAATTACAAGCACAGAAATATCTCTCTGAGTTCAGACAATATCATAATGAATGCCAAAGCACAGCAGAGCCACTGGAGTTCGGCTTCTGTTAAGTTTATCATTACTATTTTGACAAGATGATTTTCTTTGATTTTAAACTTTTGTTCTGGGTTGTGAGCCCAGCTCATGGGGCTGTAATGGCAATAACTATTCCTCATGGAAACCTTCAATTTAATTGAATCAAGAACCTTGAAAATGAGCCAGGACTTTTCTATAAGATGTGAGGTAGCCTTTAAGGATTTGGTATGAGAGATAATATGCTATTAATATTTGTAGGTTTTTAGTTCAGTTCCTATAGAACTCTACAGAGTTAATTTAAATTATATTTTAGAAGTCTTTTCCATAAGGAATATAACATTGATTATTTGATCATGTTAGAAATACCATCTTAAAATACTTGAATGCCATCGCTTATGAATTATTAAGCAATTCTACAAATGGGAAAAATGATATGAAAATTTGATATTTTCACATTAGATTAATTCCATTTACACCATTTGTAGAACTTCGTTCTTTTCAGATTATAATTATTGGTCTGGGACAGAAAACTAAATACTCAGCACAAACAAGAGAAGTCAACGCTACTAGTCTTGCACCTAGAAGAGGTCCCTTTAGGAAAGATATGATGTGCAGAGGCAGAGCTGAATGAATGGCTTGGGTTGCCATTGCCATATTGATTTTATCACCACCCATCACTTCCCTACCCATCACAGATACTTACATAGCCAGTACCACCATAGCTCATTACTTTTTCACATTCTTTTAGTGGACTTATCCTCACAATGCCTCTGTGAAAGATAGAAATAAAACTACCATCATTTTACAGGTTGGAAAGCTAAGCCAAAAATACAAATATAAATCTGCTGCATTTGCCTTCCTGTCATGGATCCAAAGGTCACTAAAAACCGACTCGAGAACCCTCCCTTTCCAGCTAAAAAATTCTGTTTATTTTAAATTAAATAACTCCCAGCAGATACCTCCTTATAATAAAGCTAGTGAAAGATAAATGTTTTCCAGAAACACAGACTCATCTCTTTCTTTGTCATGAGAACTACTCGTCTTCATTCCCTGGGCATGGACCCATAAAGATAAGACTGTCATTCCAGAAATATTAGCACCTGTGGAAAGAAAAGCACCACTGAGTTTTAGTAAACTATCTACTGCAGGGGAAAAAAAAAAAAACCCGCACTGTAAAATGTGCAGAGGGATGCCAGATTGAGTCAGTCACGACTGTCTTCATGCAAAACCCATCTGGTTTCAAGGCATGTGTGTCCTGGAATATGAAACATTTGTGTTGGACGGTAAACAGGCAACTGTTTGGATAACTCTTGTCAGACTTGGTCTTTGTGTTCATTTTAGATAGCCAATTACTGGGGCCCCCAGACATCGCCCTTTCGGTGTGCCAGGTGGATCTGCTGCGGGCGCCCTGCTCGGAAAGCAGCTGTGCAGCAGCCGCGCTGACAGTGACAGCCGTGACAGACTTTGCTCAGGATGGGAACCGCATCAGCCGCATCAGAGCTGAGCCAGTCGGACGGAGGGATTTGCTTTGGAGGGCTTACACACCCAAGGATGTGAAGGTAGGGTCCGAAAATAATTTGGAAAAAGTGTCAAATTTAAATGGGAGGTTTAGTATTGCAGAAAACAACAATAAACCTTAACTATATAAACATTTGGGGACTGCTGTCAGCAGAGTAAACCAAAACAGCCTCTTTATACGCCAAGAAAATTAACATGTAAAGCCTTTTGCTGTAACAAATTTAGGTTTGATGATTAGTCAGCACATCAGTAAGGCCAAAAGCTGGATTATAGATGTAACCAGGCGTGCTCGTGTATGCTGGAAGAGGAGAGAGGGAGAACCGGGGTTGGGGAATTAGCACCTTTTTGAGAAGGAGGGAGAGGAAAAACGGAGGGTTTGGAGAACAGTTTCTGAAAAAGCAGAGAAAAGGCAGTGCCTCGGTAACGAGAAAGGAGGACCGGGACTCAGCAGTGCCCCGTTCAATTTGCGACTGTGCCAGGAATCACTGGGACACCTCCGACGACACACGCGGCTGCTCCGTCTCTTCATTTATCCCTGTACAAAATGTCCAAAATGAAAATAATAAGAATCAATCAGGGAGGCAAGCCATGCTTTCCCTGCCTAGAAAGGAGTGTGGCGAGCAGGGACTGGCCCGTTGTCTGTGAACTTGTTTCAGGGCCTCGGCTGGGAGCTTTGAGAGCTGTAATCCCATCGCCCGAGAGAATAAACCAGAACACGGATTTGACTCAGCTATATTTCTCAGAGCATTGGCACATCCAAGCTGGTATATTTTAAGTAACCAAAAGCAAACCCCCAATGAAATCTGTAATTTCACTGCCCTGATTTTTGTGGATTTGCTCATGAAAGAATGAGGTTAAACTGGACCAAAATAATTTTTGTCTTCAAAGGTAAAATGCCTAGCACGTGACTATATCCTTTGCTCTCCAGCATAGGCTTCTTTTAAACTTTTTACGATTCTTAAATCAGAAATTGCAGCTAATTCAGTGTAGTGCACTCATATGCCCATATTTTTTCTTGAAGTTACAAATGCTTCCATTAAAATATGAAAATGTAGCAAGTATGAAATGGAATTAATCAATTTTAATGAATTCCATCTGTCTCTGTTAAAACTTGATCTATGGAAACATAATAGACATTACCTTCCCTCCCCCCCATTTCCCCATTGCTGCTTTGCAGTTAATTAGAGGCTTTAATGTAACACAGTTCCTGCAACATATCAAGGAAAAATCCATATATTAAAATCCACATAGTCTTTAGTCCTTCAGACTTGTTCAAATATTTTAATAAACTCCATCTGTCTCTGTTAAAACTTGATCTATGGAAACATAATAGACATTACCTTCCCTCCCCCCCATTTCCCCATTGCTGCTTTGCAGTTAATTAGAGGCTTTAATGTAACACAGTTCCTGCAACATATCAAGGAAAAATCCATATATTAAAATCCACATAGTCTTTAGTCCTTCAGACTTGTTCAAATATTTTTGATTTATCTGAAAATTGAATGGAAATGGTGGGCAGAACATCCTGACACACTCAGACACCTGATAAAGTGGATTTCTTCAGCAAACTAAGACTGCCTACAACTAGGATTTGCATCCTCTGCTGGTGTCGTGCAAGAAAAGAGCAGAGCAGAAAGGGCCATGTGGATTTGTTTGGGAAAAGGTTTTACTTAGGAAGGTTGTGGCCATGGAGAAAATGGGAAAATTCTGAGACACTTCTTTATATCACGCTGTAGATACAAATGATACAATTGACCTCAGATCAAAATACTGTTCAAAGACGTGTTCAGTTTTTCATTCCTCAAGACCATCACTCTAACATTTTGGGATGCCAGACACCGGTGGGTGTCTAAGCAGTGTCTCTGTGTGATAGTTAAGGGGCATTCTGAAATACATAGCATTTTGAATAGCTGACGTATTGCTGCAGGTGAAGAATTTTGTCAGGGAGTGTGGTTCTATCTTCACCCTCTTATTCATTTATTTAATTTCATCACTGTTCCTAAAAGCTAAGTTCTGCTTCGTCACTGAAAGATCGCACAAGGCTATAGAGGCCGTTCTTCTTTCCCACTCCGCGGATCGTGGCAGAACTAACTGAATTGCACCTCTGGATTTCTCATGGGCAAAGAACGAGCAAAGAATTAACAGCACTGGCCAAGAAATCAGCCTGGCAGGCTGGATATAGGAAAACCATAGTACTTCATCACTCCCACCAGTATGACTGGGAGCTCTTCATATTGCAAATCACTACACAATCCAGTCTTGCATTTCTGAGAACTAGATAGCAGAGTATGAAAGAACACCATCTTGAGCTGACAGGGGAATGCAGGCCCAGCACTGCCTGGGAGTCAGGTATTGCTATTTCGAGAGGAGTTGCCCTACCTCTGGCTTTCGCAGGCATATCTGCTCCTTCTAGAGCTCCAGGACTCTCAGACCTTCTCTGCGACCCAGCTTGTGCACAAGTAACCAAGAGCTGATGCAGCTGAGATCACTGTTGCTGTAGCAGATCCTTTCCTCTTTTATTCACATGCCGAAAGCAGACAGCTCCAGCAGCCTGATTTGGGCCCTCGTCGCTAGTACCCGATCAATAACATGCACATCAAATATATAAATCAGCCATTCATATGCTGTATCAGGAAATTTAAGGTCAAATTGGGGGACACGCAGCGACTACTACTAAAATATGCTAATGCTACTTAATTACAGTATACCTTACACCATACTTCAGGCATTACAATTAGTACAATTTAATGAGCACTCTACTCTCTTGATAATTTCAGTGAATGATCTACTTCTTAGCAAAAAAGTTTAATAAAAAAGCTTTGCTTTTTACCAGATAAAGACAGACAGTACATTACATCAGGTGGAATAGGAGCACTTTGAACTCCCTTATTGCATGTGATCAAACTCTGTTGTTTGAAAGTGAAGCCTATTTTGTACCCATTCGCAATCATGTTTTAGAAGTCAGATTTTAGTTTGTACTTGACACACGAATCCTGCCCCTAATGTTTTGTGAGGAACAGTAATGAAGAAAAACTGCTGTGTAGACTGTATTCATTACACATTTCATTTTAACTAGGTCACAGTTCGAGACCTCCCAACAGGGAACTGCTACTCTTTCACTGATCCACACATTATCACATTTGATGGATGGTGAGTATTCTACTTTGAAATAATTTGGCTCAATTACTGCAGTTTTCAGTTTCTGGATGTAGCATGCATTTGATTTTACATTAGAATATCAAAAGAGCATTGTACTAGTTTGCTTATAGTGATTAATGCAGTGCTTCAATAACATACATGGTTTCCTTCCAGCTGTTTATGCTCCTTTTAACAAAAGGACTAGAAATTGATTAATCTTGAAGCAGAATAATTTTTACAAGACAGAGGTCAGATTCCAAAATGTTCTTCAAACAGAACCATCATTATTGACTTTGAGAGGGTGTCTATACTATGTGGCATCATGTCAGCGACCCCCCCAGGTCCACCCAAGTGAGCCTTGTAGAGCGCAGCACGCAAGCCTGGTCCTTCCCAATGATTTAGTAACACCCGATGCAAAGTCACTCAGCCCAAGGATGCTCTTGCATTCTTCTACTTCCAGAGCTGGTTCCACAGCTGCATCTCTGCATGGCTTTGACAGCCATAACCACAACCAAAAAAAACATAAAGATGGCTGTACAGTCTCAGATAAAAGAAGTCTGGAAATGATAAGTGGCAAATATCAGGGAAAGTGTGCAAAAATAAAGTTGTACATCCTCCTGTACTGTCCGGATGTCCTCCTGTATTATCCAGCAATAAGTTGCTTAAAGACTTACTGAGCCAAAGGTGGTATCTTTGTGTTTGACAACCTGTACTGTACAGAAATTTTCTTCGGTTAACTTCCCTAATCATTCATGAATCTATTTACCCCAGCTATTTAACATAACAGAAAGTTTTTAAAGTTTGCATCTGGCACGTTTGATCCAAAGTTGCTAATATTTCAGGTCACATTCCAGGTTTGTCATTCTGTTAACCTCCTAATGGCACAGATAATGACTGTAGGCGCACAGCGTCCATAGGGGCTCAGCAGGCATGATATTCTAATTTTGATATCCTAATGTCCCAATTTCAGTCCGGCATGCTCTGGAGGTAGCATCTGAAATGACGTCAAAGCTGGAGAAATCTGTCAATGAAATGAGAGGAAGAAAGGCAGTGGCTCCATTAAAGGTTATACATCTGCCTCAAATAAAGATATCACCTAAACTGGGTAGTCTCAGCTAGGAGATTAGCTCTGCACATCTAGGGCTTTCCAGTTTCCCTCCTGTTTTGCTGCATGCCATTTAAAATGTGGTCAGGCACTTTTTTCATGCAAGTTTGGTCGCTCGACATGTAGAAGCTGCAGAAGAGCTACAAGAGGTGCAAAGACATTCCCATACCTCATGGTATCTGCAATTATTTCAACTCTGGGATGTCAAACCAGAATAGAATATTATTTCAAACTCTCTATACATTTATATTCTAAAATATTCCCTTCTGATTTAGAGCTAAGGATGGACAGCGATCTGCCAGGTTGCTGTGCATAGGAGGTCATAAATTACTGAAAAGTGCCTCTTGGAATGGGGGAACACTCTCAGCCACATAGTACATTTTTACATACCTTCCATGGGAAAAAAGGTCTAAAATAAAATAAAGCAATTTTATTTAATAGCTCATTTTGCAATCCTGTTATTCATAGCACACAGAAGTTCTTCTAAACAATTTACGATTATATTTGAGCACAGGGAGTTTGGAAAAGGCCATCCTTCTGTGGCACCCTGCCTCAGAGTCACACAGCCTTGACACTGAAAAATCCCAGGATTAGCTTGGCCCCTCAATAACTGCACGTTTCTTCCCTGTGGATGGAGGTTCATTACTGCTCTGTCCAGTGTAGCTTTAAATGAGCCAAGTTGATGGGGCTTCTGCCATCTCAATAAGTAGGTTATTTCACTAAGATATATCACTTCTTGATATTCAGCCAAGTTTCTTACCCATCATTTCACAGTCCCATTACTCCTACTTATATTCCCATTTATTATTGTAAATAATTTCTCTTTCAATTATTGTAATGATTATGCCACCCTATTACACATCAGTTATGCAACTTCTCTCTCTGCCTATCCAAAAAATGTTAACACATTAGCAAATGATTTTAAAGCTCTCTATCTAAGAAGTGGAGAATGCAATTCCTGCTTCTCCTGATACAAACCTATAACCTAAAGACAAAGGCTGACACAGAGGTATGGAACTGAAGCATTCTCCTTTGGTCATGAAAGGTACGTGGTGGGAAATTGCATTTGAAATGAGGTGTGTGTTAGGTATTGTGAATGGAAGAATTGTACAGAAAGCTTCTGGGCTCAAGTAAGAAACCATATGACTGTCCCTCAATAATAAAAAAGTATCAGAGAGAGACTGATCTGCAGATTGTAAACAGCAAAGCAAGAGACGAGAAAAAGCTAAGAGAAACTTCTCCTAGGAACTATGAAGCAATAGGCTGAGAGGATGAGTGGAGCATCAGCTCTTGGGCATCAGGAGCTACATCGACTGTAAGTGATCAGTAGACGTAGGCTCAGGTAAGAACATTACACAGGAAAGAAAAGAAACATCCAAAATTAGTCAAGGCTAAGGAAACAGCAGCCTTTACCCACCTCTATATGGCTACAAAGATGTCAGCAAACAAAGCTTAGTAAAAAAACTATCAAAACTGATTCTGGCATCAACAGCAGAGCATCCATCAAAAAATAGAACCCAAGGAGAACCATTTGTCCCACCACAAAGCCTGTAGGTCAGCTTACCAGGAGAGAGCAGACTCTAAGATCAAACTGCTGTGGGCAGAGCTGCTGTGGATGGGTGGTGATCAGTTGTCTCTTTGGCATCCTTTCCACCCACTCGCGTCCTGGGGTTGGCTGACTGAAGGACTGTCACATGAAAAGCAAGGGAAAGTCTGAAGATGAGGAACATTGCCAACAGCAAAACGGTAGGAGTGTTTTCTACACACATGGGCATGCACGTAAACATACTCCTGCCTTTCACAGAGTTGCTTACCTTTTTGGACTTTCCCATGAGCAATGGCAAAGAGAAGGAAAAATGCACAATGGAGAAAAGCAAGGATGAAAGCAGACACGAAAACAGAAATTGCAACCTTTTTGATTTCCAAAATTTAAATGGAAAGCAAAGCTCATAAAATTTTAACTTAATTTAAAAATATTGATTCTAATAATTTCTTTAGCAGATTTGTTGGAAAATTGAAAAATGGCATGAAATAAAAAGATTGGAAGGTATTTCTTTTTTGGTAGTAAAATTTTCCTACTGAAACAGTCACTTCCAACGTATAGGTTGATTTATAAGATTTTACAATAATACTTCATTTTGTAACTTCTATAGTGATGTTTTCAATTATTTTTAATCTGACATACTGAGCTCACATTACATCAGAGGTAGTTAGCTATTTATTAGATAACTGAAATATCTAACTCCCACTTCTAATGATAACACTCCCCTTTGGTATGCCTCTTGTTAATATATTTCTGTAGAAATATTTATCTTGTAATCTTTTCATTCTTTTGACCAAAGGAAGTGACTGAAAATCAGAGAAGAACGTGTCATATTTTACAGTGTAAGCACAATCAGTTTGTGGGCATAGACGTGAAATAGCGTTAATTATACCAGCTGAAGTCCAGAGAGAGCACTTCCTTTTATAGCAAAGTACCTTCTAAATTAAACAAACGTGAAAGCCTGGTAAAGCAAAAGTATAGGCCTCATTACTAGTTATGGCACATTATAAATATAAAAGCTTTTCATGCCATAAATTGTAGATTCTTAAATATGAAGTACTAGCTTAAAACTAAATATGCAGAAAATTATTTTAAGGCAAAATATAAAAAAGGAAAGATTTCTTGACTGGTGAACTACAGATATCGTTCATATTATTTCACATTTTAACTTAAAAAAAAGAAAAAAGAGTTTTGAGATTTCTCAAACGTTTACGCTAATCTATCCATCAATATTGTCACAGGGGCAATGGCACCATTTCCTACACAATGTCAAAATCCCTCAGCTTGCACAGCTTCACGCTTGTGGATGGTTTTAATGGCATTCATCACAGTAGCCCACAACTAAGTCCTGGGCACGAGTAGCCCTCCCAGAGGTGCTGTTCTTTTTGATGGTCTGTAGAAGTTTATACATCTCTAAGCATCCAGTGACTGCTGTAACCCAACAGCTTTGCGCCCTGAGAAGAACACAGTCAGTCCCTAGTGATGAGGGCTCTGAAACCAGAGGACATCCTCCAGCACCACCCAGAACTTCCTAGGGTCACAACTGGCACAAAATAGTTCTCACTAGCAAGAAAAGAGGGAGCCTGGAGGGACATGTCAACAAATCAAATTATTTGGTGGCAAAACTGTGGTGGAAAATCTTTAGGAGCAGCCACAATAATAACTGAATTAATGAAAAGATGAAGTGCAGCTTGGGGAATAGTAAGTGTACTGTGTTAGTCAATCTAAAGGTGCTAGTGGTAAGCGTTTACATACATTTATATTCTTTTCTGTCCCTCTCTTATCGTGAACCACAGAAATGATTCCTATAGCATCTCACTGTCATAACCAAAGACTTAAGAGCGTTTTATAATTCTTGGATTAAGAGCACAACTTGAGCCACCACTCCATGCTGGGACAAGAACTTGCTGCACTCCTTGAAAAACAACCCAAACACCTAGATGGGGAGGGAGGGAACCTCTTTCCACCCAGTACCTCCATTGCTACAGACTTCAGGGCAGCGGGATGTGGAGGTGCATGGTGGAGGGCAATTTAAACACAAGCAGTGGCACCTGGTTCACAAAGAACACGCAGAACTCCCTCATGCAAGAGCTCCAGTAACTCTGCTGCACGCTTTTAGTGCCACAAGGCTGCAATTTGATTTCTCAAATGTTGTCCAAAGAATCATCACAATTACTGTTGTACAAACATCGGAAAAGTTTACCTGACTACATTCAATTATCCATTCAAGTAATTCAAAGGCAGCTGAAAGTTTCAATTTAGACACGTTGCAGATTTGTTATGTGCTATGCAATCTATGCCATGACTTAATTGAAGGACTCTAAGTGACTTCCAGGAGAGCTGGATTGGGTCCACTGTCAATGCTTATTAAGCAGTAAATAGTTTCCGTAACTGCAATGATATTTATATGCATATGCTAACACAGTCTTATTTACCAGATACAGCTGGGTACAGCCATTCTGATGCATTATTTTCCATCAAGCTCTCTAAACACCTTTCCTTCTAAGCTCCCCCTGTTGAAGGAAACTGTGGAAGGTGATTCTCATAAAATATCCCGTCTCCTCTGTCTCTCCTGTGAAGATGTCCAAGTGGAGCTAGTACTTGATGTTAAAAGAGATTATCTACTTTTTATGATGTCCCTAGTTCTAATCAATCTTAGCAACAGCATCTGCGCAGTGTACTTAGGATTTATGTACCTGATTAGAAAATAAGATGAGACAGAACCATTCAAAATCTTACAGTTTTATGGCCAACTTCACAAAGTTTTTCAAGATGAAAAATAAAGTCAAATGTGTTTTCTAGCAGAGAAAAGCAGTTGGAGTTTAAGTTCTTACTGTGTTTTAAGCTACATAGTCTTCTATGGCTTTTATTCTGAAGAGAAATAAAATGCAGATATATACATGCTAAAAAATCTTGGTTCTTTAGCCATTTGTTGCTCTGTATAGAAAACATTAACAGACTGAAAAAATATTGATGTTTGTATGACAGTGCTTAAAAATAATCCTGTTATTTAGTTTAGTTATTTTATGCATTCTTTTTTACATCTTTTTTGTTGTAGAAAAGGATAATGCTTATTCTTATGAGCTTATAGCTTAGTTTCCATTCTACTTAATTGCCTAAAAATCGTGTTTAAAACTAAATGCAGTGCCTTAAAAGGAAGTAGAATAATCCGTCATCTTTAAAGATGGCAGCTGTGAGGAGAAAACTCCAGCAGCTTATACAAAGTATACAGCTGTATACTTCAAAAGTAATGATTACTTTTATACATCTCGTTAGAACAAAATAGAGTAAGAATAAGACATACTTATGGAGTGAGAAACCAAAGAACAAGCAGAGGAGGATCCTCTTGCAGGTCCCTTTGTGGAAAGCCAAGGGGCTGCAGCCGGGAGGAGTTTTACCTGGTTCGTGCAAAGGCGAAACACCTGCAGTTATTCAAGTTATTCTGCTCGTGGCCTCACTCAGAGCAAGGACTTTTTGTACGGAGAAGAATGAAAGTCCCAAATTGTTCAACACGCTGCACTGTGCTGATTGCCAATCCATTTAAAGCGAAAGTTGTGCTTACAGTGAAGTTGTTGGGGGGGGGAACCAACTTCATTTTAACAGGTTTTCAGTAGAATCCCAGGTTTTCACATGAAGTATTCACCTAGCCACAGTCAGTCTTGTAAAAACCAGTGATTAGTCACAGAAAAGGTCATGTGAGCACTGATTTTTCTTTGAAGAATATCATGCTGTAAAGCATCCAGTTAGAACCAAAACATATTTATTAAAGCCTGGAGGCAGGGACTTTTTCCCATTTGCTTTTTATCAGATGTTTATCCTTTTTATCCATGCCTGTTGCCATAGCAGCAGCTGGGAGACAGCCACCCACTTTTCACATGAATTCTTATGCACTTCCAGCTAATAACTGTGACGGCGTTCCCCTGTTCACGGTGCCGGAGAAACGTTTCCCCGCGTGTTGATTTTTCCCTCCTTCGAGGCCAGCCACCACGCTGGCCTGTTTAAGGACCGCTGTTGTACGAGTACCAACAAACAGCCATTGCAGGTGGATGCTCTGGGTCTCTAAATCCTCTTTTTTGTTTGTTGCTGTTTAGGCGCTACGATAACTATAAAATCGGCACCTTCCTTTTGTGCCAGAGCGTGTCGCGGGCGTTTGAAGTACACGTTCGGCAGTGGGACTGCGGAAGCCACCGCTCGGCCACCGCCTGCAATTGCGGCGTAGCTGCGCGAGAGGGGGGTGACACCGTGGTGCTGGACACCTGCAATGGTCATTTTTGGGAGAGCAGACCCCAGCTAGCCGTCAAAAGCACTGAGGCATCACCACATGTCAAAATCCTAAAGTCCTACGGAGGGAGAAAAATAACAGTACGTGGATATTTGGGTACTCTTGTTGTTGTTGTTCTTTAAAAATGTGAGTTTAATATTTCTGAATTATTAATGAAGTTGCTACGAAAATATCTATCTGAAGCCATAAGAGCGCCTGCAGCAAAATGTACCGAAAAACGAGATGCAGGGAAGAAGCTGGTTAAAGTGTTAGTTTAAGAAACTGTAAAACAAAACAAATATCTCTGGAAATTTCTCGGAGACGTAGCGGCATGACAATATTGTCACTTACTCTCTGCAGTACTGCAATCCGCTCTCAGTTTGTTTATGCTAGGCACTACCCAACCGCATCACAAAAAACAAATTTCTTTGCAGAGCTTACAGTATAAATATTCAAGGAAAGATCACAGGTAGCAGAATAATGTAGTTTTAGAGTGGAACAGTAAGGCAATATTAGTCAGACGCAGTTAGCCCTCAAAAGCCATGAAAATGGGCTGCAAATGTGCAACATTTGGTATAATTTAAAGTATTTGCCTAAAAATATATGGCCACAACATACTTTGCATAAGTATCACTTATCCACACTAATACAGAGAAATCACTGGAAGAATAAGAGCAGGCTGCACCAGGGGCTTTGGTGAGGAGAAGAGCCACAAATTATGGCCAAGAAGATAATTTTATCCTCGAGTTGTATCATCAAGATTTATTGCCAGGAAATATTTTGGGTTAAGATAGGTCCACAATAGAGCCAGAACGATGCAGGGAGTGCCTGTGTTTTGGCTCTCCTTGTGATCTCACTTGGAATAGATCTTGTAACATAGTAATTGAAGGTCTGTTAATTATAGAATAGAGAAAAAGCAGGAAGCAAGCTCTTATTTCATTTTGCAACTGAATGCAGTACAATTACTGTTATATTACTAGAATAATCTTAGCAAGGAATCCCTATTCTCATTTACACTTTGTGTAAGTCTCAGTGAAATAAATCAGGACAACCCCGGGACACGGACATGAATCCTGCCCTGATGGGGCATACAGATTCTGAATCTGTAGGAACTGTGCAGCAACGAGTACGGTCCCTGATCAGGCCGCTGTGCGCGGTGCATCCCGATTTGCTCAGCAGTTGCCCGTCGCCAACCTTGCGCAGCGCAGGAGCCGGCTCCCCTGCCGCTCCCCCGCCGTTCAAGGCTGGTGCTTTGAATGGGCTTAAGTCACTCTCTCTTCTGTGCAAGGTAGCAGCTTCCAGCGGCCAGTCACTATATAGCTCTGCAAACTGAGGTCTCAAAAAAGCTTCTTCAAAGCCTCAATCAGCGGCGTTAAATCCAGGTGGGTTACAGAAAACCTGGGCAGTTGTTAGGTCCTCAGGGGCAGATGGGACGCCTTGCCCGGTGCAACAGGAAGAGCAAGGCTTACAGCCCTGAAATAAATCCACACCTGGAAATATTAATCCAGACAACACAGAAGACTGAAGCCGCTCATGCAGTCCTGATTGCAAGGATTTTATACGCAGCCTTGTAGGAAATGCTCTTCCCTGTAGTAAAGCATGTAATTAGAAGGCACATGTTTATCTGAAGAGGGAAATCAAATCCTACCCAGCACTGTGTCAACTGCAGTTCTCCTGCTCTACCTATTAAACCACTAAGAAAAAATTAACTCATCAGGCCATTTGAGCTTTATGTTGGGGAATCTTTCTTTTTTTTTTAAACTTACCTTGGGAAGCGAAGCGTACAGCCGAGGAGGAGGTACTTCCAAGGTGGAGGTACACCCAAGCTGGAGGTACAGCCAAGACCTTCTGACGTATTCAAAGAACTCGTTTTATATGATGACTTCCATTATTCACCAAGGCCAATAATTTTTGAAAAAAGGATTCTTTGAATGCCCTGATCAAAACACAGAGGGCCTGAGTTCAAAACATATTGTCCCCGGCTATTATTGCAATCAGTGGCACTTTGCTGCTCCGCTCAGCTGGACGAGGAGATCAGTCACGGAGAGCTCCTCAAAAAGTATTCTCATGCCTGAAATGATGACTGGGAAGCTAAAATGGGCAAGATTATTATTTAGTGCAGCCAAAACGTAAACTCTGGATTCCAGCACAGAAATACAAATATAAGCTAGCTGCTTCTTCACAGATATGAATAGATTTGGTGGGGAGGAACTTACAAGGGACAAAAAAATCCTTACTGAAAGAAAGAAAAGCAATGGATATTATTTGGCTGAATAAATTATGATTAGGCAGGGTGACTTAAAAAAAGGAAAATAATTATTTTGAAATTATTGTAATGAGATGTTTCCAACTATTTAATGTACTTTTTAAGATTAACTGAAAACATTTCATTTTGGATCAAAAAAAAATATTAAGGTTACTTACCAGGGTAGAGTGCCCCTGCTCCCACTTCTGGCACAGATCAGTTTCAAAATCATTTCCTTTTTACCTGTAAAAATAAAGCAAACAAACAAAAATACATTTCGGTTGAACAGATTTTTTATTATTATTTTTTTATTATTTAGTTGGAACACCAATCTGAAAAATCCATTATCCACACAGTTACTTCTTTGTCTTAACCTCAAGATCTTTTTTTCTTTAAAGGTCAGTGTAAGCCTACCCAAGTTCTTTAATGATAAAATTGCTTTATCCACTTTAAAACACAATCATTTTCTGGGTAATCCAGCCTTGGAAAATGAAACGATTTTTCAGAGGGAAGAAAGCTGTTTTTCAGACTTGGCAGTTTATCTAAAAGAAATTATTTCCCAGGCAAAGACACAAGGGTGGCCTTATTTTCATGGCAGTCGCTTGAAAAATTAGCTGGTAACTTACCAGTGGAAAACTTCAATGGATGCAATTATTAATTTAAAAAGAAAGTACTCGTGCAGTTTTATATTTATGTAATGCTATCAGATATTAGCGCCATAGAATCTGAAAACAAGCTAAATAATAGCACAAATAAATATTTATAGTGTATCTAAGTGAACTTAAATTACCTCTGCTAATGTCCTACTTTGATATTTTTGTTTATAGAAAGGGACAATTTTATAGCATAAAAAGCTTGGTAGCAGCCTCAGTTCACTGGGTTTTTTTCTGCCTCTTCAGATCCTGTTCCCTTCGGGAGCGTTTGTGCGAGCCGACGTGAGTGAGTGGGGAATGGGTTTGACGGTGAGGACGCCGGGCAGCGACTTCAACAGCACCAGAGGTTTGTGTGGCCTCTTTGACGGGATCGGTCACAACGACCTGAGCAACGTGCCCGAGGAAGACTTCATAGAGGAGTGGAGGTACAAAGTGAGAGAAGATCCCAGCCGGGAGGTGCTCTGTAGCACTGTTTCAAGGGGTGTTGATAGGTTTATTTCATTACATACTCCCCTCATGACCTGACAGAGAGATCTCCTTAATCTAGCGAGGGAAGCCTGGAGACCCATTACCATCCGAACAGCACGGGGGATTAATTTTCAGCCAGCACAATACACATAAGCAGTTACTGAGAGCGAAGTTTTATATTCGCAAGTGGTGTCATGTTAACAGCTGTGGTAAGATCACACTCAGCTGTTTAAAAAAATGCGGTTCTCACCCACACTAGAAAATGCAGATAACAGACAATAGGGATTAATTAAGGGTTTGGTATTTCCCTTGTTGTTTTATTCCTGAACGCTAATTACAATATGTGAGTACAGATTAAATGTTACATTTTGACAAAGTGTGGTAATATATGTACCATGCTAAAACTTAATATCTACTCTACTAATGATGACAGTGAGCTCTAAAAACTTGCATTTCCTGAGACAGATTGTCTGGAGCCAGAGCCAGGAGTCTGGCGCTCTGACATATCCCTCTCCCTTTCCCTCTCATCTCCCTCTCCCTGTCCCTATCCCACATTTTAATTTCTGTTGTTGAACTCTAAACGTGCCTCACAGGTGTTCCAAAAACCAAAATGGGTTTGGTTGACTATGTAGTTTTGTTTGTGAAATATGTTTTGCAAATAAAGAAAAATAAGGTGAACCACCTTAACAAACCACTTAATCTGTACATGGGAACTTAGCACAAAGAATCCTATAGGAACAAGAAATTTTAGACCTATTGCATTTCAGAAAAAAACCAAACACCTCTACCATATTCTAGTTATATTCAATGGACCTAAATAATGGCTATTTAATGACAATTTTAACCTGTTATTAAAAATGGCACTATTTAGAAGTCAACAGCCATATTTAACATCTTAATAATGTGATAATCAGTCAGAGCTTGCTTCAGGGAAGGTAAACGGAGAAATAGTTTGGTGCAAGAACGATCAACCGCCGACTATCCAAAAAGGGGCTAACAAAATCCTTAGGAGGACTTCTTCAAAGCAAGTTTGCTGCAAGATCAGAAGCCAAAGCACAATATATAGGAATTTACTTATAAAACAGTGAGGAGTTTCCTAGCGCTCAGCACATATGATGGAGATACTTCAGGGAAGGCAGGAGAAGCTCCTGCTAAGTCAGAAGGGCAAGAGGGTGATGAGTTTCACCCCGCAGTACTCCCCAGGATGGATTCTCAAGGATCCTTCAGAACCTGGTTAAAAAATACAACTAAGCCAATGGAAAGGCTAAGGTTACCTCCGGAGGAGGCTGGATCGGTCTCTGATCCACCCCCGGAGAAATGGCGCAGTAAAAAACAAAACCTGGAGGGTGATTTCTTTGCTGCTGTTTTAAATTTCATTTTAAATAATACTGAAAGCATGTTAGGTTTTCTCCAGCACCTGAAGCTAGTCTGAGTGCTCACCATCTGGCAGTTCGG